CTCCTGGCGCTGCCGCCTCGCCGGAGTCGGGTGTTTCTCCTTTGACCGATGCTTACACCAAGATGACCAGCGACATCCTGGCCGAGAGAACCCTCGGTGACTTCGTCAGCGAGCACCCTGGAGAACTCGTTCGGACAGGTATACGCGAGAAACGATCGGTATACTGTGGATTTTTACGGGTTTATGGGAATCTTTACCACACACCGTATCTTTATACGTGCATTTTTATCGAACTAAATTTTTCTGCACAAGAATCTTTTAGTATATATCAAACGCGTTGAATGATTTTTTTTTTTTTTGAAAAGTGAAATCTACACTGTATCTTATTTTGTTTACTCTAGTTTTAGTATATAAAACAGGCTCCCTTTTGTATAAAAATTGAGTTTAGTAGAAATGTAGGTGGATAGAGAGACAAGTTATTCATTAGGAAAATGTGTAAATATAGATGGAGTCTACATACTGAGCCGAAATTGTAGTTGGTGTCTGATTGCGATCGGTTGGATCTACTTACAATTAGTTGAACGTGTAAAGTCTCATGTGAACGAAAAATTATAGCTATGGAATTTTCTGTTATATGATCGACTTGTTTATGATTCGGATCGTTAACGATCCAGATAAATGTTCTGTCGCACAGATAATAGAACACTAGTAGGTTTTGCATCTTTAGATTTCCCATAAATACATAAACATCCGCAGTATTTTGTTAGAATTCGCCCGTATCTGTGCTCTTATTAACAGATTGTAACATGTAAAATGTTTGATGCTTAACGATTCGTATCACTTAATCCTAAAAAGGATACAAAATACACGTTTACGTAAATGTTAGAAAGATTCAAATTATGTGTGAAAGACAGAGTTTCAAGCTTTCAGGAAAAAGAGACAGAAAGGCAAGATTAAAAAAGTTAAGAAATGTTATATATCACAGTCTGCATGTATAACTACATATAAAGTTAGTTATCAAGTAGACAGATAATAGAGAAACTTTTCAATCGAAAAATATCTTCGTCCATGTCGTTTAACCATAGTCAGAAAATTAATTAATATTGATATACGGGAGGCGATAGATGTCTGAAAATGTTATGTTCCTGGTTTAGTTGTGAGGTTAGGTATATTTAATTTCATTACAGGGTCCCCTCACTTGGTCTGCAGCGTATTGCCAGCTCACTGGAGGTCCAACAAGACCCTTCCAGTAGCCTTCAAGGTGGTGGCTCTAGGCGAGGTCGGCGATGGCACTTTGGTCACTGTTCGTGCTGGTAACGACGAGAACTGCTGTGCTGAGCTGAGAAACTCGACCGCTCTGATGAAGAACCAGGTGGCCAAGTTCAATGATCTTAGGTTCGTCGGGAGAAGCGGCAGAGGTGAGTCTTTTATCCAACTAATTTTTAAAAATCTGTACCTTTGACAAAGCGTCAAATGCAAACGACCTTTTTCCTCCTCATAAAATTTGAATACAGAAGATATTTTCACAAATTTATCTACAAAAAAGTCATACATCAAACGATCAAGAAAATAATCTTTTCATGCGACAGTCTCGTTAAAAGAAAAGTACCAGACTACAAGTCACACTATCTTCCTTTTCCAAAATATATTTCCATAGTTGTTCGTGGTAACGCTATGCAATAGCCAAAGTGTTCTAAAAAAACAGCAAAATCATTCGATAAATATTAACAGTCTTTGCAAAAATAAACACCGAGAACTATAAGTCCTAGCGATTGTCCGTGGAAAATTTGAATCCAGATGTTTCTACGAGTTCATCCACGAGAACTTGATGCACCAATCGAACAACATCTTCGAGAAAAAGGCATAAAATACTCTTGCAAACACTATATAGCCTCCCTCTAAAATTCAAATTCAAAGTTTACTTCCCTTCTCGCGAGAATATTCTGCAGCAGTCAAACAGACTTCGCAAGAAGAGCCACGTAACTCGTGAAATTAGTTCGCAACGAATCCGCCCCTTTCTTCTTCATTCACTAAACTACGGAGTTGTTGATCTTCGCGTTGACACGCTGCGTTACGGGAAGAAATCTGTGGAGGAGGGGTTTGGCGGGAAGGAAGCTCAAAGAATTCGGCCCCGTAGTAAGGGTAGGTCGCGGACGCCTTCGCGACGACCCTCGTTTTTCCTCGAGGAAAAGAGTCCTCTCGTAAGCGGCCGCGACGACCTCGAAAATTGGACGTTTCACAGGGGTTGCCGAGTCGTTGATTGGTGTGCCAACCGAACTCGAGGAGACGACGACGTCGTCTTGGGGTGGGTAATGGGTTTTATTTGTCCGCACCACCGCCGAGCAACCTCCTCTTTACTTTCCTTCGTCGAAGTCTCGCCCCCTGAGAACAGGCTCGTTTCGCGCGGAAACGATGAGAAGGGGCTTGAAAAGAGCCGACACCCCTGGAAACAGGGACGGCCGATATTAATTGAGGTTTCACTTGGATTTTAATTAACGTTATTAGGGTTGTTTCGTGCCTGCCGATTAGGTAACTCCCTTGACCTACTTCGAACATCTCTGTGAAAATCTTTCGTGTTTTGCTTTTTGGTTGTGCGGTATATTGGATATTGAGACAGATTCTTTCTATCGAAAGATTTTATTCTTTTCAATTAGTACACGTGTTACACGAATTACATGGACGTTTGAGGTTGCAAAATATCTTTTATTCTTCTTCTTTACTTTATTAAAAACGTTTCCTTCATGTAAATGCTGAGAGCCACGGGTTGTTCGATTATTATAAAAACAGATGACATCTTCTCATATGCAGACATTTTTCTCACGAATGAATGATAGAGTTAACTGCTATGATTCTTTTCCAATGTCTCAACTGTCAATGACTAATATATTCTTATTGTGAGTCGCAGTTAAGATAGTTTATTTTGTATTGAAATCGCAAGACGAATGGTAGAATAGATTTAAAGGCTGAATTAGGGTTGAAAATAGGGGAGAGGGAGGACGTTCGAAACCATGAAATACCCGAATTTTCTATCCGACAACGAGGGGGTTGAATCCACCCTCGAGCTCACAGAAGCGCGCCAGTCATTTGTCTGGGATTAGCTCTCAATTGTTTTCGTCGAGCGCGGAATTAACATAAGCTAGGATGAAGAATGTAAGAGAAGTGTCTCTCGTCAGGATTCCTGCGACTCCCTGGCTCCTTGAATATTCCCTGGGAGAACCGATGCGCGCCAAACTCTCCAGCGAATCCCTAATGATCCTACCGTTTGTCGAACTCGAAAACATTCCTCTGTATGCATGTGACGGAAAGGTTAGCTTTCATTCTGTTTCCGGTAGGTTCGAAAACTATTTTGCAATGGAAACGTCAACAGAATTCTTTCCTCTAACAATCATGAATATTCCTTTGTATGCCTGTGTGATAGAAATTTTAGGTTTCGTTCTCTTTCGAGAAGAATTGAAAATTATTATGAAGTGAAAACGCTGAGGATAAATTTCTTGGAAGAAATCGTCCAAAAAATTACGACACGTACTCTATGGTGTTTAAAATTAAGTAAATTTGTACAAGATCTGACGAGACCCCGTCGCTAGATACATAGGTTTATTCGCGAGTGGAAAGTTGAAGGGTATCCGTCTGCTCGTAGGGCTGAAACTATAAGCGCCCAAATGATCTATCTCGTTACAGAGCTTAGGGTTGAAGGGGGTGGAAACGATCCAGACCTTGCCGCGATACAGCTGGCATTGTAGACGAACGTGCGGAAACAGGGCTATAGCTTATCATCGATATTACAAGATTCTGGCACGACGTGTTCTGGTTTCTTCGAATCTAGACTATTTTAAGAAAATGGAAAATTAGGAAGAGAATAGTAGAACTGTCATCTGTAATACGTATGAAATTTAGCTCGTATTACAAACAGTTTTATTAACGTAACTTTTCGGTACGCTTTTAATCATTATCTTATACGAATAGAGAATTCTGATTGCTAATAATTTTCTTAATAATCTGACTGTGAGGTATTCTAGTACGTATGAATCATTACGTGTAATGAACGCTTGATACTCAATAAACTTCGCTGTTAGTGCTCGCTCACGTGTCTCGGTTTCACCAAAAGAATAGCATCTGTTAGAAGTTTTAAATGATACGATTCCAATAATTATATGCAATTACATAATATTCCGCAAAAGTTTGCATACAATGTTCGCATATTTATATATTTCGTAATTTCGTCGTATTTGAAGCAAAACTGTGATTTTGAAGGAAAGGTGGACCGGTTTTCGCTGACGGCAGTTCATCCTGACCATAATCAATTCGTTATCAGCGTACAATAGCACATTTGCGATTCGTTTGGGAAAATTGAAATTAATTAGTTAGCTCGACAACGGACCCGCAACAATCTACACCGTTCTGCTAGCCGTGTACACGTACGGTTCACATTTTCCCTGAGAATCGTATGTTAACGAGCGTTATCAGGAAATCGATCTCTACACACTTCTGCCTATTCTCCTTTTTTTCACTTACCTTCGGCAACAGTTCAGTTTAACTCTTTAATGTTTATCACATTCAATCCTTTACTTGTTTAGAGCAATTTCTTCCATTCCATCGCATTAGCAATTGATACGTAAATTTCAGAAAAAGTCCAGTTTCTATATATAATTTGAGCATACAGTAGAAGGTAGAATTATTTGAGTGATCCAAGTTTCAATATTTAAAACTTCGATCTTGAAGCTTGCACAGAATGACTAAAATTGTTGTATATTATGAGACACCGTTAGCTCCTGATATAACAACGGAGATTGAGAAAATATCGTGTATTTTAAGTCCAGCAAGAGAATTCGTTTAAATTGAATCTGTTAACTCAATTTCTCTATTGTAGTTAGCCAGATTCCTAGAAACGAGTATCTACCAATAAATATAGTAGCGAATAAAAGAAAGTTCAAAATTGATACTGTTTAGGAATCGCGAAGAAACCGCGAACACCGTTGCGATTTGATTTTTGATAAAGACGACGCTTTTCGGTCAACGATTGGCACAACGAACTTGGTGGCGATTAGAATCGTTTGCGCTCTCCAAGGGATCGGTCGAGAATTTGTTTGAAAGGACGATCGTCTCGTTTGTAAAGTCCAGTCACTACATTTATCCTTTAATTACTGCCTCTACCCGCCAGTGAGGTTTCATTGGCTAACCTATGCAGGTGTTACCTTACAGGTGTCATCACGTTTAATGGAATTACAGAACAATTAAGTAAAATGTTCAACATATTGGTGATTAAATGTCATGTATACCTCATCCCTTTCTTTACAGATATACTACAAATTTAATAATAATATTTGTGTTAAATATTTTTATCGTACTACAAACTTCTATCACACATTACAATCATCTATTCTGAAGTATATATTATATTTTTTCGTTGTGCTTATTAAATATAAATTCATTTTTTAAAACCACGTCTTTCTATGCTTCTTATTTTATAAACTCTCTTTCACCCACCTCTATGTGTTAGGTGATTAATTGGATTATACATTACCGAAACCAAAGACGAAGTCTTCGGGAAATTAGAATGTAGAATCTTTTACAATGTAGAGGTTGAGCTCGAAAGGGATATTCGTTGATTGAACATGAGATCGCAAATGACAGGGGATATCTTTGGAATCAGGCAAGGGATGTTTCGATAAAACGCTCGTTAAAGAGGGGACAATGTTGCGTTAAAAAAAAGTGGTGCCACGCAGAACACGGTGGTTGCACACGCAGAGGTTCACCGCAATTCCACGTGCACCCTCTTTCACTCTTTCTCTCGCCCTCATCGTTTCTCACCCCGAGTGGATCGCTGATCGCGTGGCTTTTTCTATCCCACCCTTCCTGACGCTTCTACACGATTCTAAAAGTGAATCACTGTTATCCGCCATACGAGTTCACACAACTCCTATCACGCTATCGCATCTAATTCCTTTATAAATGACAAACATTCCTCCAAAGAGAAGTAAGAGGCGACAAAGAAATAGAGAAGAATTATGGTTCGAATTACATTCAATCTCTCGTCGTGATTATTTCATACTTATCGTTAGTAAGTTACATTCAAAGGATATCCATAATTTAGTCATATTATTGTAAATTTTTCTAATCAATAACGTGATTATCTCCTTGTTACATGTATTTCTATTAAATTAAATTTTGATACGAAATAATTCAATTTTATATTATTCTGCAATTGCTTTGCTATTGTTTCATACAACTGCGGTTTTAGGGAAGATTGCAAAGGATTCACAGAGGTCTGGAAAAATAGTGGAGTTTCTATGAAAAGACTTTACAACAGTCACCAATGATTTCATTGATTATTAATAATATTATCGAATTTTGGCAAGTTACAAATTAGAAATTAGATTAGAGATTGGAGATTACATAGTTCTTTCCTATGAATTTACGATTTGCGACAATTACCTAATTCGAAACTCGTCGAATTAAACCAGAAAAGAATAAAACTTTATAAATTCTGATTCGTAACTTATGAAGACAGATTCGTGGCTTGTAAAATTTCACCGATAATATTAATTCGCAGTCATAACTTGAAAATGGCAGTAACAATTAGATAGAATAGATGCAGTAGATAGGACTCACGTAACAACTTACAGAGATATAGACTTATTATTTCTCAAACAGACTACTACGTACTCTAAGTCATAAAATTTTTGTTCTGCGAATTCGAGGAAACGTTTTGCAACTAGTTGAAACTTCTTTCTTTAGACGACTGTAAGATTATTACTCGTGGTGAAAGCAGGAAAGAAAGGGAGAAAGTATCGGGGGAATAATGGCGAGTGTCGAGCGTGGCCACACGGTGGTTCACCACGCGAGCTTCTCGTTTTCGAGCGGGGAATCCCGTCAGTTTGTTGCAAGTCACGGCATCCTCCATGGCCGAGCCCTGGCAAACCTTTTCACCCAACTGAAGTTAGTGGTTCCACGGGCAACCCTGCACACGTAGGTATCACCCTTGGTGCCAGTCGCCGTGGAACCATTAAAGGTCACCCCCAATAACTTCGCCCCTTCTTTCTTTCCACGTCCTACGATTCTCGATGAGCAATTCCCCGCCACCCAAGTTCGATTTTCAAACCGGTTCATTTACTATTCTCTCGTTGTAATTTAGAGAACAAGTTATTTGGAACAGGGATAAACTATCATGTTTCTGTTTAGAAATTAGAAAACAACTCTGTATACTATTTGTTTTTTTTTTTTTTTTTTTTTAGTAAAGAACTTCAATATGGAATTGTTTGGAAAGTTTGTAGCTTTTTGAGAATTGTGTTGTGGTAGATTATGAGAGATTCGGAAGAGATTAGATTGTTATAAATGTTATTATGAATTTTAAATAACATTACTTTGTAAAATACGACAAAATAATTTGTGCATATCTGGCGATAACGATGTCTTGAATCAAAGAGAAAGTGAAAGAGATACAGAGCAAAAATTCATCAGCTGCCCTTAAACTTTCACGAGTTATGCAGAGTAAAGAGGGTTGTTTTTCGTCGTTAGGTCTCTAATAGGCTTTTTAACATAACTGGGCTCAACCACCCCAATAGGACGATCGTGTTGGCTGGTCACCATCACCGTCGACGACGCCCTCGATACATTACCGACGGTTAATTTGGTTACTACCAGAGTTTCGGTCGGCCAGCCACGTTTGCGAACTTCTGTTTCAATCTATAACGATAAAAAAAAAAGACGACAAAATATAACGCGACGAAAACTAATATTTTTGTATCTCGTGGTTTCAGGGAAGAGCTTCACGTTGACCATCACCGTGTCCACGACGCCACCGCAAGTTGCCACGTACACGAAGGCCATTAAAGTAACTGTGGATGGGCCGCGAGAACCGCGATCCAAGACCAGTGAGTATCACTGTAAGCATTGCTGTTCTTATTTATTATTTAAATTACACTCCACTAGTGTTAACATCGGATATTGAGGTGTTCTATCGATTTTTTTTTACGAGAAATAGTTGTATCGATTTATTGGAAATTATTTCTTGATACTTCGAGCTATCCGCGATCCTTAAAATAATTTTTAATTCAAAAGCAAATCGTACTTTCGCTATTCGCAATTTATTCAGCCATTTTCAAACCTATCAGTCAACAATTTAATAATCTCTTCGTCTGATTCTTCAAAGTTTAACCATTTACGGATGTCAGTTTTGTTAACATCTAAATTTTTCTTAATTTCAGTGTTAACGTTTATGTGTTACGATTGATTCACGATTTAAGGGAAGGTTTAAGCTTCTGAAAAGCGTGCAGACCTCAAAATCCACAGTCTCGTGCAAATCTAAATTTCTCCTGATCTCGTAAACTTTCAATCTATTACCACCAGCTATCTCGAAACTTGGCACAATTTTTTCAACTCTTCGCAATGTTGCGACATGCTATAGCTCGTGAAAAAAAAATTGAGACTTGGTGCAGGTCGCGTAACTCGCTCCGACGGGAGGCGTCGAAAGCCGCAAGTTGAAAATGGCCCGGAGGCGGCGGTGCGGTTCGCTCGTCGGGCTAAGTTTCGCGCAATT